TATAGAGACTGCAGCCCTAGGTGCTCGTGCGTCTGACCCCTTTGGTACTGCGTCCGCGCAGGCTTTGCACACGTTTACACTTGACTCTGGTGCTTCTCGCTGTTTCTTTCGCGACAGCACCGCAGTCACCCTCCTCCTTGCACCTGTTCCTGTCTCGCTGGCTGACCCCTCTGGGGGCCCAGTGCTTGCACGTGCCACGACTGTGCTTCCGTGCCCGGCGGTCCCGTCTGGTGAGCTGTCAGGTCTCCATGTTCCCTCGTTCTCTACGAACTTGGTGAGCAACGCCGTCCTTCAGGATCACTGGGTTGACACCTGGACTCCTGGAGGACAGCGTGTGGCGATCTGTACCTGCTCCAAGACTGGCCGCCACCTGGCCACGTTCACCCGTGAGCCGGGGTCCAGTCTTTACACTCTCACCACTGTTTCACGCTACACTCCTTTGTCTCCACAGCTGTACGCGTCTGCTCAGGTAGCCACCCAGTGTGAGTGCCGCCGCCTGTCCCACGACACTCTCCTGTGGCACCACCGCCTTGGTCACCCCTCCCTGCCTCGCCTGCGTGGCATGCACTCTCGCTGTCTGGTCTCTGGTCTTCCCAGGTCCCTGCCTGCACTCCCTCCCTCGCCTGCGCCGCCCTACATTCCTTGCGTCGAGGGGCGGCAGCGCGCCGCTCCTCACTCCTCCTCGTTCCCTCCCACAGAGGCTCCGCTGCAGACGCTCCACCTGGACGTGTGGGGCCCAGCCCGCGTCCAGGGTCAGGGCCGCGAGCGCTACTTCCTGCTGGTCGTCGACGACTACTCGCGCTACACCACGGTCTTCCCCTTGCGCAGCAAGGGGCAGGTCCCTGATGTTTTGATCCCCTGGATCCGCGCTGCTCGTCTCCAGCTTCGCGAGCGGTTCCAGACGGACTTTCCTGTCCTGCGTCTACACTCTGACAGAGGTGGTGAGTTCTCCTCTGACCTCTTGCGAGCCTTCTGTGCGGAGCACGGCATCCGTCAGACGTTCACGCTTCCGGCCTCTCCGCAGCAGAATGGGGTTGCTGAGCGCCGCATTGGCTTAGTCATAGAGGTCGCTCGTACCTCCATGATCCATGCAGCTGCCCCCCATTTTCTGTGGCCGTTTGCGGTCCGCTACGCCGCGCATCAGCTCAACCTCTGACCCCGTGTCTCCTTGCCGGAGACCTCGCCCACACTGTTGTGGACGGGGGAGGTTGGCGATGCGTCGCGCTTTCGGGTCTGGGGTGCTCGTGCCTTTGTCCGCGATACCACCGCGGACAAACTCTCCGCCCGCGCCATTCCCTGTGTCTTCCTTGGTTTTCCTCCTGACGCGCCTGGCTGGCAGTTCTACGACCCCGCCTCGCGCCGTGTCTTTGCGTCTCAGGATGTCACCTTTGACGAGTCTGTTCCCTTCTACCGTCTCTTTCCCTACCGTACCTCCCCTCGCGCCCCCCCGCCGCTCTTCCTCACCCCAGGTTCTCCCCAGGTAGACCCCTTCCCGCGCCAGGTCCTGCCCCTTCAGGTGTTTCTCAGGTAGACCCTCCCGTACCTGCGCCTGTTGAGGTCACTGGTGACTCTGGTCCTGCTGGAGGTGTTGTTGGCTCTGGGGATGCTGGTCCTCGGGGTGCGGAGCCTAGGGGTGCGGAGCCTGGGGGTGCGGAGCCTGGAGGTACTGAGCCTGGGGGTGCGGAGCGTGAGCGTGAGGTGCCTGGAGGTGCTGAGCCTGGGGGTGCGGAGCGTGAGCGTGGGGTGCCTGGAGGTGCTGAGCCTGCGAGTCAGGAGCCTGGTGGTGCTACGCCTGATGGTGCTGTGTCTGGGGGTGACGTGCCTGTGTGTGTGGAGACTGGGGGAGCTGGGCCTAGAGGTGAGCCGACTGCGACTACTGCGCCTGCTGGGACGCGGTCCCCGTGGAGCGACCGCCTTCGTCCGCGTGTACCTCTTACCTCGCAGCAGCTGCACGACTGGTTCGGGCGCCGTCAGGGTCGCGCTGCTGGAGCTCGAGGCTCTGCTTCTGGAGGTGTTGGAGTTCCTTCCCCTGGTCCTGGAGGTGCTCGTCCTGGTGGGACTGGAGCTGCCGGGGCTGGAGGTACTTTGCGTGAGGGTTCTGCTGCTGGAGACCCTGGGACTGGGAATGCCGGTTCTGGGAGTGCTACTACTAGTGGAGTTGGTCCTGGAGGTGCTGGAGCTGGTGGTTCTGGAGCTGCTGGGGGTGCTGGTGCTGCTGTCAGTGGACCTGGTCCTGGTGGCGCTGTTGCTGAGGGGGCTGGAGCTGCTGGAGGTCCTGGTACTACTGCTGCTGGTGACACGGCGCCGCGGCGTCTGTTCTTTGCTCCGCCGTCTCCGTCTTCTCAGCCACCGTCTGACTCGGCACTTCGCCAGGTTCTTAGTCTCCCGTCGTCTACTGGTCTTCCGTTACAGTCTGGCTCACCGCTGCCTGCTCCTTCTCCTTACACTGAGCAGCCAGGAGGTCTTACTGAGCGTCGTGAGCCTGCGTCACGTCCTGTCTCGCCTGTCCGTCCTGGTCGTTCCGGTCGTCGTGTCTCTAGTCTGCGACAGCCGCCTGTTCGCAGCACGCCCCTGGTTGTCAGACGTCCTTCTCCCACTCAGCAGCGTGTTCCTCTGCCGTCTCCCCCTGCGTCCTCTCTGCCTGACGTTCCCGACCCTGAGTCTGACCGGTTTTGTGCTGAGCACCCTACTGTCACGCGTCTGTTAGCCACTGTTGTCATCGACCCGTCCTTTGAGTCTGCTGCTGCGTCTGCCTTGGTCGCTGAGCTGGTTGACTTTGCTGCTGCCTGTCGTCTAGACTACGCTGCTAGTCTTGTTGCTGAGTTTGCGTCTGTCTGTCCTCCGTCCGTCGGGGGTGAGTGTGCTCTTCGCACGGACGTCCTTGAGGACAGACAGGAGGACCTTGAGTGTCTTGCGGCTGCTGTACCTCATCTCACGGCCTGGCTGCTTGCCCCTGAGGGAGACCCGGATGCACTTGACATCCCTACCCCCCGCTCTTACACAGAGGCGGTCTCGGGTCCCTACTCCTCTCACTGGCAGACAGCCATGGACGCAGAGATGGCATCCTGGAAGTCCACAGGCACTTACGTCGATAAGGTTCCCCCTCCTGGGGCGAACATCGTCGATGGCATGTGGATTTTCAGGGTGAAGCGGCCGCCGGGTTCTCCGCCTGTCTTCAAGGCTCGTTACGTTGCTCGAGGCTTCAGTCAGCGACAGGGAGTTGACTTCTTCCAGACCTTCTCCCCTACCCCGAAGATGACCACTCTTTGGGTGCTGCTGCACGTTGCCGCTCAGCGTGACTACGAGCTTCACTCTCTTGACTTCAGCACGGCTTTCTTGCAGGGTAGCCTGCACGAGGAGATCTGGCTGCGCCGTCCTCCTGGCTTCACTGGGTCTTTCCCTCCTGGTACCCAGTGGAGCCTCCGACGGCCAGTTTACGGTCTCCGCCAGGCACCACGTGAGTGGCACGACACATTGAGGACGACACTTGCAGCTCTTGGGTTTGCTCCCTCCACTGCAGACCCTTCACTGTTCCTGCGCACAGACACGTCGCTGCCGCCGTTCTACATCCTCGTGTACGTCGACGACCTGGTCTTTGCTACTGCTGACACTGAGGCACTTGCTCTTGTGAAGTCGGAGCTGCAGAAAAGACACACGTGCACAGACCTGGGTGAGCTGCGCAGTTACCTTGGCTTGCAGATCACCCGGGACAGAGCACGCCGCACCATCACCCTGACTCAGTCACACATGGTGCAGCAGGTCCTTCAGCGCTTCGGCTTCCAGTTCTCCTCACCTCAGTCCACTCCTCTGTCTACCAGCCACTCGCTCTCAGCTCCACCTTGGGACAAGTTTGTAGAGCCGAGTGGCCCGTACCCAGAGCTTGTGGGCTGCCTCATGTACCTGATAACCTGCACTCGACCTGACCTTGCGTACCCTCTTAGCATCCTAGCTCGCTACGTCGCACCTGGGAGACACAGGCGAGAGCACTGGGAGGCTGCTAAGAGGGTGCTGCGCTACTTGTGCAGTACATCAGGCATGGGGCTGGTGCTTGGAGGACAGGGCTCGGTTGTCCTCACTGGACACTCAGACGCCTCTTGGGTTGACGACCTGGCTACGCAGCGGTCGTCACAGGGTTACACTTTCAGCCTTGGCTCTGGTTCTGTCTCTTGGCGTTCCACTCGCTCTTCTTCTGTTTTCAGCTCCAGTTGTGAGGCTGAGATCTACGCCACGGCCATGGCTGCACAGGAGTTACGCTGGCTCACCTACCTGCTGACTGACCTGGGTGAGCGGCCTCGTTCTCCTCCAGTTCTGTACGGCGACAACAAGGCAGCCCTTGCCTTGTGTCAGGAGCACAGACTGGAGCACAGAACGAAGCACATTGCTCTCCGTTACTTTCTGGCTCGAGAGCTGCAGCAGCGTGGCCAGCTTCGCCTTGCGTACGTGGACTCGAAGGCCAACACTGCTGATATATTCACCAAGGCGCTTCCGCCTAGTGATCATCAGCGGCACTGCACTGCGTTAGGCCTTGTGTCCACGTTCTCTCACTTGCTTACTTCTTGACTTTGTTTGTACTGTGATCTATATATATGTCCTTGCATGCTTGCACTTGCTAGGCTTTGATCACTGTACTACTTGTGTTCTTCTATATAAATCTGCATGTGAACTGGCCTTGTGGCCTTTGCTTGTGCTCAGAGAGTGTGGTGACATTGTGATCCACCCTGAGCTTGTTCTTTTCTTTGATTGACTGGTCTTGTGACCCCTTGCTCTCCCCCACTTTGCCTATGGGGGTGTGTCAAAGTATAAATGTGCTATATGTTTGTAGGCTGTAGTGGGGTAGCCAATATGGGGTACAACCCCAACTAGGGTTTCCTATTTGCACCCTAGCTTCTTTCAATCCCATCATCCTTGCCTCATAGTTTTCACACGTTTTGCCCTTGGGCAGGGGAGGCGGAGGACGAGTAAGATTCAACCACGTGGCAGTTTGTCCTGACTCGACAATGTTATAAACAGCGGTTCCCGCCTCTCCCGCCGCGCCTTGCCAGATGGAAACGCTGGTCGGCTCGCCGGCGACGGAGGTGGAGACGACGACACTGTAGAAGATGTTGTAGTCGTGGTCTTGCCTCACGGTTTCCGTAAAAATTTCAAACACGCAAGACGGGAGGAAAGGAGAATGGGAGATGATGAAGACTCAGAACATGTTGTACTAGTCGTGGTCTTGCCTGACGGTTTCCGCCAAAAGCGCATTGCGGTTTGTTGATTGAGTGTAAGCAGTTTGAGAATGCAGTTTCAAATAACGGAAACCAATGGCACAGCGAAGAAAGTGGCCGTTGGCTTACTCGAAGACGGCCAGGCAGATTCGGCCGGTGGCTTTGACGTCGCAGGTACCCCCAACCACGTTTGCTGAAAGTTTCAGCCGCGCGGCGAGAATCGCTGAGCGGAGATGAGGGGAGGGAAGGGGGGAGAGGCAAGATCTCGAGGATACGTAGCAAGAAGTGGAGAGCAACGGTCTTACTTACAAAGTTTGATGCCGTAATCATTATTTCATCATACACTGCGTGTTTGATCTCGACCGTTCGATCCTCAAAAAGGAAATACCGAACCACCAACACACTGGTTCCAGAAAACGTGTCACCCGTCAGACCCTCCCTTCACCCGCCGTTCTCACCCTTCAAAATTTGAGACCGGCCTCACCTGTCGGATTTCCGAGAGCCTGAGCGTCGCTCGGATTGGGCAGCGGGCACGGAACCGCGGCCGGGGGTCCCCCTTTCTTGTCATTTCCGTTCTTGACTGGACGCGCCGTCGAGATTGCTGCTTAACCGACGGAAGAGAAGGAACGAAGTGGAAAACCAAATGAGAACGCATCTCGTTAGAAGTTGAATTGAATATATGGTTTTGAAGCATCTTTTTAAAGAGTTTGATTCATGGCGCGGGATCTTACGCGCGCAGCTGTCGACTGTAGCACAGGTAGAGAATGCAACTCACTCACTCACCGAAGCATGCTGCTGCGACTACGCGAAGAATCGACAAGCCAACTTCAAGGTACCGACGGAGCCCCATAGCCGCGGCGGACAAAATTCCGTAGCGGCTACACGGATTCCTCGTTGAGACCAGAGAACGGACGAAACGCTGATTGCGTGATGAGGTCGAGACGGAACAGAATGATCTATTTTTTTATCACCAGTCGAGCGGAATTTATCCGCGGGTATTACCTTGGTAAAGAAGCCGAGCCGGTCTGACCAATCAGTTCGTTCCTTACCGGCAAGGAAAGCCGAGCAGGTGGTGGCTCCATGATGATACGAGGAGATACAGTAACCAGTTCGTTTCAGTGCGGTGCCGACTATACGGCAGCGCTAGACGTCTAGGAGACGTTTCTGGGGTATCTCGTGTTCGACTTTACGCACTGTGGAAAACGAGAATGCGCTGCGGAATTCAGACAAACGCGTTTGGCGGGATACCTGGCGGGGAAGGCCTTGGAGACCATAGTGCGTACGATATGCGCAACAACAAAAACCCTGTACGTGACGAATACGTGTACGCGCGCCATCCGCGCCCCCCCCCCCCCCCCCCCCCCCCCCCCCCGCCCCCGAGACTACAAGAAAAGAACACTTCCGAGTTTCACACCACGGAGATCGTTTAGGGCGTGTCCAGTTCGTTCATTTTGGGATTTTTCGTGCCATCACACGTATCGAGGTTCAAAAATGACCACCGTACCTACAAACGAATGCATTGTGAGTGAAGCGCGGTTCACGCGATTGAAGGCATGGTCATGTGGCAAAAATAAATTAAACCGCGCTTTCGCAGGATTGAGCAAAATTCTCTCAATCATAGTTTGAGAATTTTTGTGCAGGCGCAGTGGGCGTTGGCGAGTAAAGCGAAACACTGACGAAATCGTGCAAGCGATACAAGGGGCACGAAATGTTGTGGCCAGGACGCGGCGCTGTACCCTTGTTCGCGTCCCTGCTGATTCCAGTAACGTGAGTCAGACGACACTAGGTACGTGCAGGGGGCGTGCCGTCTTGTGAACGAAAGCTGATTGTGTCCGCTGGACACGTTCAATACAGGGTTACCACAAAAAATGTGGTAACTGATGGGGTTTACGAACAGTAAATGTACGAGCTGGACACCCCCTTATAATGCGGTTGTAGCGTAAGATCCTGGAAACTCCTGATGGACAAATTCAGGTGAAAGCTCGTGTTGCCTCTCAGCTTTCTTACAACACCTGCACCCGCGACTCCCATGCCCAATGAACATCTTGACTGTTGATTTACTATAGCCGCAGGTGACGCAGCAGGGAAAGCCAGCGACACGAGGGATGGTGGAAAGCTTTCACGTAGAGTAAACCGTGATACAAACAAAACACTAGTCAGACATAAACTGATGCTATAAATCGAAAATAAAATACTGTGTAAACATGGTACATGTACTGCAACATTATTGTACGACCAGTAAACAAGCTTTGCCTTTGATGCTTGGTGATGATTAGTGTTGGGCTGAGAAAAGCCCTTAGGATCTTTGCAAGGGTAAATTCGGGTAGGACAATTGTAATAGCGGAAGCGTTAATGAAGAGTTGTGAACCACCTTGCGCTGGTATGTGAGGGCAAAGTAAGTTGATTAAAGCAAAGAGATACAAGCATTTATATATGAGTACAAGGAATATGAAAGGATACGGTTATAACTACTTTACTGTTGCTGTTGCGGTTCGATACAGTGACGACTCGGGCAACTGCTCTGTAGCGAGTCAGTTGTGTGTCCTTGCTGTCGTGCTGTACTTGTCAGGTCAAAGGTCGCTGACCTTTGACTTTCGCGTAACCTCCAGCAACCTCTTTCAACCTTCGAGGGTTGACTCGTGTGTGCCTCGACATGGTTCGCTTCGCTTCTGGTGCGATGTTTCGACACGACAGAGGCGCTTAGGATTTACTGTTTCCAACACTCCCCTTCGCTTCTGGAGTGTCGCAGCTGATGACGTGGCTTTGTCCAGTCAGCAGCATGCAATACTAAAACTTCTGTTTTCCGAGCTTCTTGGTCAAATAGTCGGCTGCCATCTCGGACGTGGGGCAGTATGACAGCTCGAGTCTTCCTTTCTCGATCTCGTCCTTTACGAAGAAATAGCGTAGGGCGATGTGTTTCGTCCTGTTCGCGAAGCCGCTTTTGTTGGCGATGCGAATTGCTGACTGGTTGTCGCAGAACAGGGTGAAGTTGGGTAACTCGGCTAATTTCGCTTCTTCCAGTAGCTCGCGAAGGTAAAGTCCTTCTTTGGTGGCTGAGCAGAGTGCAATGTATTCTGCTTCGGCTGATGAGAGTGCGATTAACTCCTGCTTGCTCGACTGCCAGGAGATAGGACCGATAGGTTCAAGGCGATAGATGTAGCCGGTGCGTGAGCGTCTGTTGTCCGAGTCACCAGCGTGATCTGCGTCGACGTAGCCGATTAACTTAGTCGTGTCAGAATCCCAGCCACTAACCACTGGGATAAAAGGGCTTGTTTATATAGCGGGTGAGTGCGCCCATAACCCCCCAGGCCGACGTGCCTGTAACCCTTCCCTAGGATCATCGGGGATCTCCAGTGGACCTCTGACACCCCCCCGCACTGGGATGCCCGAAGTGCACACACCGGGAATCGAACCCGAGACCTTCGCTCTGATACCATGTCAGAATCCCAGCCACTAACCACTGGGATAAAAGGGCTTGTTTATATAGCGGGTGAGTGCGCCCATAACCCCCCAGGCCGACGTGCCTGTAACCCTTCCCTAGGATCATCGGGGATCTCCAGTGGACCTCTGACATTTAGTCGGTGTAGTTGCGTTCTTGTGGTAGGTTAGCCCGATCGTCGGGGTGCTAACGAGGTAGTGAAGAGCGCGGTCGAGCTCTGCTAGGTGCTCTGCTTCGGGTTTCTTGAGGTAGGTGGCGAGTTGGCTTGCGGAGTAGGATAGGTCTGGGCGACAGGTGACGGCTGCGAAGAGAAGGCATCCCAGCTTTCTCTGGTAGTCGCGTATGCCGGCGGGCTTCAGTAGAGTAGATCCTCCCTTGTCAGTTCCTGTCGTGTAACGGTATGGCGTGGAGATCGCGGTCGGTGTGAGAGCGAAGCGCTTGGCGATGGTGTCGGCGTACTTTTCGGCGCTGAGGTAGATTGCAGTTTCTTCTTCTCGGATGTTGAGGCCGAGATACTGAGTGACGGTAGACGAGACAGTGAGTGTGAGGTCTCGTTGCAGCTCCCCTTCAACCCAGGTGGTGATTTCGTCAGTTGACCCGATGTAGAGTAGATCGTCCACATAGACGATTAGCAGGACGTAGTCGTCGTTCTTCGTGAGCCGGTACATCCCCTGATCGTGGGGCAGTTGCTTGAAGCCAATGCGGATGAGACGGGCGTGTAGGTACTGCTGCCATAGCCGCGGGGCTTGCTTAATCCCGTAGAGCGATTTCAGTAGTTGACAGACTTTGTTCGGCTCTCCGTTAGTGCCATGCGGTAGTTCCACGAAAATCTCTGCGTCGACAGGTGCGTAGAGAAACGCGTTGGCGACATCGATCTGTCGTAGCTTCTTCTTCTTCATGGCGGCGATCGCGAGAAGAATTCGAAGTGAGGTGTGTCGGCTGACCGGGGCGAATGTCTCGGTGAAGTCCCGTCCGTGCTCCTGATCGAATCCGCGTACAACCCAGCGTGCTTTGAACTTCTCAATTGTGCCGTCTGCTTTCGTTTTGACGCGGAAGACCCATTTCCCGGTGAGGATGGTCTTGTTTCTTGCCACGCTGATGGGAACGACTTTCCAGGTGTTCCGTTCCTCCAGCGCTTTTAACTCTCTGTCCATGGCTTCACGCCATTTTTCCCTGTGCTCCCCCCCCAGAGCCTGTTGAACCGTCGCAGGCTCCTTAGGAATGGCGGGACCGTGGACTGCGGTGACGAGCCCGAGTATCTGAAGTCCACTCTGTGTGTAGCGGGGGAGTGTGGTGTCCTCGGGATAAACTGCTTCGTCTCCTGTTTCAGGTGTTGGATTGAAATTCGGTCCTACTCGTTCTGCTTCGTTGGTGTTGACCCGTGCAGGTGTAACGTAACCGTTGTCGGCGAAATCGTAGAAGACTTCGGCGTTGATGCTTTCGCGAGGATTTTCGTCGTCCATTGGGATGTCCACGGAGCAGTAAGGGAGAGGTCCGGCTGCTTCCGAGGCTCCCTCCACGTTCTGCTCGTCCCAGTCAGCTTCGTCTTCTGCCGAGGCGAAGGCTCGGTTCCCATGAAATCCGCCCGAGAGGTCAGGTCTGTTTTCTTCGATGTACATGAGGTGAGTTCCGAAGGTGAGGTGCTCGTAGAAAATGACATCACGTGCTGCTACTGTTTCCTTGCTGTTGATGTCGAAGATTTTCCACGCGTTGTAATGTTTTGCGATGCCCAGGTGTAGTCCCCACTGTGCGCGTTGAGAAAATTGCCCAGCTCGTGCAGATGGAGGTCGGTACGGCACCATGCAGCCGAAGACTCTCAACATTTTTGTGCTGCCCAATTTTCCTGTCCACAGCAGATGCGGTGATGCGTTGTTCGGGAGCGATGATGACGAAAGCAAGTTGTGCAGCATCACGGCGTGGTCCATTGCTTCGGGCCACTGGTGGTTGGGCAGGTGCATGCCACGTAGCAGCTTGCGCATGGTGGCTTGGAGCGTCCTGTTCATCCTTTCTGCTACGCCTTGCTGTTGGTGAGCGTAGGGAAGGGAGATGAGCCTCTTGATTCCTCTTTCTGCCAAGTACTGCTTGAACCTCTGTGAGGTGTATTCTCCTCCCCCGTCTGACTGAAAGCTTTTCAGCTTAACTCCCGATTCTCGTTCTGCGACTGGAAGCCAGGCGACAAAGGCTTCGAAAGCCATGTCGCGACTTGGAAGGTTTAGGTGCCAGACATATCGAGTTGCGGCGTCGATGAAGGTGATGGTGTAACTGTAGGCGTTTTGTCCGGGTTCGCGGTTGTACAAGATGTCGCTGTACACTTTTTCAAGTGGTGCGTACGCAGGTGTACTTGGATTGTGATGTGAGACGAACGGCTGATGCGGTAAGTCAGCTTCAGGGCAGGTGAAGCACGTTCCACGGGCTCGTTGAAGTTCTCTGCCGTCGGTCAGTAGGAGTGAATCTTTGTCGAGCACTCCTGCTCTTATCGTGTTGTTTAACACTGTGTTGCTTGGATGTCCCATTCTTGCGTGCCAGGTTCCTTCAGTGGCGCGATGTCCGGGTGATCGTTGATACAGATCGGAGTTGGAGTAGAAGCCGGCGGTGACGTTGGTGCTTCGGTGGACTTCTCGTGGTGCTGGATTTAACTGCTGCGCGGGTGTTGGTGGTGATTCATTGACGAGAATTGGTGTCGTTGAAGGTCCAGCGATCGGTGTTGTTGTTGCTCCTGCTGCCGATGTTGTCTCTGCTGTTGCCGATGTTGTCTCTGCTGCTGCCAATGTTGTCTCTGCTGCTGCCGATGTTGTCTCTGCTGCTGCCGATGTTGTCTCTGCTGCTGCTGAATGTTGAATTGTTGCTAACGCGCGTGTTCGTTCTGTCTCACGTATCGTGTGAGAGTGCCAGAAGCCGCCGGGACTGAAGTCTGGGTCAAGATCTGGAGGATGTGTCCAAGGAGCAAAACTGACGATGCCGTCGCTATCAGCGGTGCCAAGGTCTGGAACGAAATCAAGAACGAAGACGTTGTTCTTGAGGATTGCCTTTCCGATGTAGAGGTCGCCTTTTCCGTGGTACAGTTTGAACTCCTGGGTGGTGCTGTCTGCTTCGAGGTGAATACCCTTCGCCATCAACTGACTGACGCTCAGTAAGTTATAGCCGAGGCCTTCTGCGATTAAAACCTTGGTCATTTGTAGAATGACACTTGTTTCTCGTGACTGAAGTTGTACCACGCCTTGTCGTCGTGTGCGCAGGTTTTGATTGTTGGCGACAGTGATGACTACTTCGTGTTGAAGTTGATATTCTCGTTGTACGAAGCGTCCTGAGGAGCACATGTGTTGTCCGCAGCAGCTGTCCAAGAACCATGTGTCCTTCCCAGACGGCTCGCTTTGAGCTATGGCGGCGTACGTCGGATTCGGTTGAAGTGACTCACGGCGAGGCGTGCTGTTGTCGAGCTGTTCTTCCGGTGAGTAGTGTGGTGGTGATTCAGTGACGCAGGAGTCGGTCAATCTTACCATACAACTGATGATGTTTCTCGTTCCTTGTGCAGGTTGTTTTGTTGGTGTCGTTGAAGCTTGAGTCTGGGTCGTAGGATTCGCTTGCGTTGAAGCAACTTGGCTGCTTGAAGGACGAAGTTGACGTTGCGGCGACGTTGACTGTTGTCGATTCGGGCAGTGCGTACGAGGATGCCCTGAAGTCTTGCAGAGGTGGCAGAACGGAGGTATGATTTTCGGTTGTTGTCGGTTGCTGTTGTTGTTGTACCGTCGCTGAGTGTGAAACGCGAATTCCGGTACTGATGTCTTTCTCTTGTGTCGTTCTTCTTGCAGGTCCATGTCTTGCTGTTCGGCGTGAATTTCGGCGCAGAGCGCTGCTTCGGAGATTCTTCCGTGGGCTCGGAGAATGGCCTTTGTCGCGCGCCATTGAGGACCGAGGCCGCCGATGATGACTGTCACGAAGGCGTCTTCAGAGATTGACCCTCCGCATCGAATGAGCTTGTCGCGCAGTTCGCGACATCGGCTGATATATGCCATTCCTTTTTCGCCTGGTTTCATTTCGACCGTTGTCAATTGCGCCATTAACCGACTTTGGTTGACGCTGTCTGTTGCTTGATACAGGTCCTTCAGGTGCTTGTACGCGAGTTCCGCGGAGTTGCCGAATCCCCGGTAAGACCGTATGTTCTGCTGCTGAGTTGGGGTGATGTTTCTCAGTAGGATCGTATACGCCATCATCGACTGATATGTGTACTGCTGCTTCTCATACTGTGTGCCGTTTGTTGGGTATGGCACAGACCCGTCGAAGAACCCAAGTATCTGCGCGCCTTCCATCATGAGTTCGAACTCGAACGACCAGGTGAAGAAGTCTTTTCCGTCGAAGGGCCTTGACGTCTGCAGCTTTAAGACGTGCGCGAATTGCGACTGAACTTGTAGTGCATCCAGTTGTTTTTCTTGTCCAGGTGGAGCTTGCGGGTGCGGCATGAAGCTAATGGACCCGCGTTCATACGGAGCAAAGGTAGGTTGTTGCTGATTTCCGCGCGCATATGATGAGCCGTCGAGACTCATTGGAGTCACGTTGTTGTTGCTGTTGTTTGACTGCGCAGGTGCCGATTGCTGGTGTTGCTCGTAGAACGACATGAAGGAGAAAAACTTCTCCATCATACTCTGGTCGAAGCTGGCAGGCTGGCTGGCTGAAGGCGCTGCTGGTCCCGTTGCGGTTCCTTCCTCTGTCTGCAGGCCAGAGGCAGGAGGTGGGGTAGGAGTAGTCCCGGGAGAACCATTAGAGGAACTCCTTTCCTTGTATGTTGCCATGTTGTCTGTTGATGACTTGATAGTAGTCGAATTTCCCCTGATAGCTCTCATACCATGTTGGGCTGAGAAAAAGCCCTTAGGATCTTTGCAGGGGTAAATTCGGGTAGGACAATTGTAATAGCGGAAGCGTTAATGAAGAGTTGTGAACCACCTTGCGCTGGTATGTGAGGGCAAAGTAAGTTGATTAAAGCAAAGAGATACAAGCATTTATATATGAGTACAAGGAATATGAAAGGATACGGTTATAACTACTTTACTGTTGCTGTTGCAGTTCGATACAGTGACGACTCGGGCAACTGCTCTGTAGCGAGTCAGTTGTGTGTCCTTGCTGTCGTGCTGTACTTGTCAGGTCAAAGGTCGCTGACCTTTGACTTTCGCGTAACCTCCAGCAACCTCTTTCAACCTCCGAGGGTTGACTCGTATGTGCCTCGACATGGTTCGCTTCGCTTCTGGTGCGATGTTTCGACACGACAGAGGCGCTTAGGATTTACTGTTTCCAACAATTAGTACACCATTTCAGAACGGGGCCGTAGAAGTGACATTGACCATCCCGTAGAAAGAAACCAGACCACCGGGGATATTTTCAAACCAAGGTACACTGAAACCAAGGTACACTGAATCAGGGTACGCATTTGTACTCTGAATGATCAGAGTACACTCCCGGAAAACTCTGAAATTTTTTATTTTGTCGGAGTACAATGAAACAAAAATCTAGAATATCAGAGTTTTTCATGCAAATCAGAGAAATTTCTCTGACTTCTGGGGGCCTGGTTGAAACATTCTAACGTGCTCCTAGGATGGCATTGCTGGTTGGGTGTGATGCTATCTAGGGGTTGCTAGCTAGCTAGTTGGCTGGTAACATGCAGTCTATCTGTCTCCACCGATGCAAGGCTGATTGTCCACACGTCAGGTGCTATAGAAAAACACAATTCATTTGGAACACATTGACAGAAATCATATTTTATGAAGTCTTTATGTGTACAACAAGACAGATCCCACACCCTAACAAACAAATACCAACTGATATCCTGAAATAGCTGAAGCACCTTTGCTCCATAAGCCCCGTTAGGCACCTTCTCTGATCCACTTCCTATGGTGCATGTACATGTATGAGTCCATGGTGACATTCGCGAAAGCACCGATCGCTGCACCGTCTTCGAGCGCCTTGGTGTAGACTAGAGCAGAGTAAGAGTCAGGAGCAATAACACAATACAAGTGAGATATGCAATGAAAGTAACACAAAACAAGCGCAGAACCTTTCGACTCACTCTTTCAATTCTAGGACCCATGGGTAATACCAGTAGAAATAAATGACCTGTCATCTAAGAATGTGTAAGTTCAACCTGCGGTTATATCACGGCGACCCAGAAAGACCTTGCCGATGTCGCCTTTCTGGGTCCCCATCCCTCCTGCCAGCTTAATATTAGCGAAAGCACCACTCGCTGCACCGGCCTCGAACGCCTGGGTGTAGACGAGAGCAGAGTAAGCGTCAGGGGCAGCCAGCATGGCATCCGCCAGCTCCTTATACGTCTGCCCGTTATCCGCCGTCAAAGTACTGGCGCTTAGCCAAGTGCCGGTGGTTTCGTAGTTGTAGCCGAGGGGAGGGGGAGGGGGAGGCGGCTGCTTGCCCTTCTTGCCCTTGGGAGACAGTTTACCGCCCAGCTTGGCGCGCTCGGCATCTGTGAGCGTGCGATTGGTCCACTTGGCGTCGCTGGTGGTCACGGTGAGTGCCACGTCAGCGCCAATTTCTATGACGACACCAGTGGGCTCCCCAGAGTCATTCAGACTGACGCGGACGTGGTAATAAATGTCGTAGTCGTTAGTTAAGGCGTTTCTACGCAGGGGGGTCGCAGGGAGGAGCAGGGAGGGGCAGGGAGGGGCAGGGAGGGACGGGTGTTTGGTCATGGACCAGGCGGAGATAAGACGTACGGTGAGGTTGAGAGAGTAAAGAGTGACTGGAGGGGAGATGTGAATTGAACTGAGGAAAATGAGACGTGAGTAGGGAGAAGAGAGAAGAGAGAAGAGAGAAGGGGAAACGTACAAGAAGATGGCAAGGTAAACACAGCCCGACTATTTTTGAGGCGCCTCAAAGACGTGAGTAGTGAGAAAAGTGAAGGGAGAAGGCGAAGCTTACAAGAAGATGGCGAGGTCAACGCATCCCGTGGCGTTGACATCAGCTTGGAGGTCAACGTTAGAGCCGTTGACGCGCGCTGCGACCGCACCTGCACAAAATCGTGGAACCACGGAAAAGGAAAAAAAATGCAGAGATGATCAATTGGAGCTGTTGAGACGCGCAAGAATGGACGAGGCAGGAGTGGACGAGGCAGGAGTGGGCGAGGCAGGAGAGCCGGAGAAGGCTTCCTTTTATTAAAGCGCTTACCAACGAGAGTGCCGAACCGATCGCCATCGGTCTTGCCGCCGCCATTCTTTCCACCACCATTCTTCCCGCCATCCTTCCCGCCCTTCTTCCCACCATCCTTCCCGCCCTTCTTGCCCTTAGGCGGCGGTGGAAGCGGGTCCGACTGAAACTGCCCCCGCGCTGCACCCGACTCGAAAGCAAGCGTCGCGAACGACGCGAAGTAACCATCCGGATTCGCGATAATTGCATCCACCAGCTCCTTCAGTGTCTGCCCGCCGATCGTGGACACTGTACTCGCTGTAAGCCACGTCGCGTTAGTGCCATAAGTATACTTGGGAGGCGGTGGAGGGGGCGGTGTGCCCTTGTTCTTCTTGCTCTTGGGCGGGGGAGGCGGCGGACGAGTAAGATTCGCCCACGTGGCGGTTTCTCCTGCCGCGACAGTATTATGAACAGCGGTTCCCGCCTCTCCCGCTGCGCCTTGATAGATCGAAGCGGCGTACGGCTCGTCGGCGTCGGAGGTGGATGTGACGACACTATAGAAGACGTTGTAGTCGCCGTCTTTTCTGACGGATTCCGTCAGGGTTCACGCAAGCGAGCGAAAGAGAGGAACGAAATGAGCATTGCTCAGGGAAGTCGAACAAACGAAGTGATGAACAGGGTTTGTTAAGTTTGGATTTAAAAACCAGGGAAATAGTTTTAAAACCAGGGAAATCCAAAACTTGAATTTCAGAAGACGGAAAGCAACGGTTTACTTGACTAGAACGGGAATGTGGAAGTCTGCGAAGATGAGAGGCGGCCGCTTCACAGAAGGTTGGCTTACTCGAAGAGGGTGAGGCACCATTAGCAAGTGGGATTGAAGTGAATCGACTTAAGCGGCTTACTCGAAGACGGCGAGGCAGACTCGCCCGGTGGCGTTGGCGTCGCCGGTGGCCCCAACCACGTTGGATCCGTTCAGCCGCGCGGCGAGAATCGCTGCGCGGAGATGCGGAGGGAAGGGGAGCGGGGGAGCGAAGTGTGTCAAACACGGTGGGAGAAGACACGAAGGGCAGAGAGGACAGAGAGGAGTCCGACGAATGACACGTGGATAGCGGAGAGGCGAGCAGAGTAGAGAAGAAAGTGTTTTGTTTGTTAAGACGGTACTAATCTCGTCGATCCGTTTATTGACTCAACGCGTGGATCCTCGAAAGTACAGCGCATGCGGCCCGCCGAGCGAATTAGATTCCCGAGATCACATCGCCCGTTGGATTCCCTTAAGAAAGCTTACCGGTCAGATTTCCGAGAGTCTCGGCGTCTTCTGGCTTGGGCAGCGAGCACGGGCCTGCATCTGGGGGTCCACGCTTCCCGCCATTCTTGTCATTCTTGTCATTGACAGGGCGCGCCGTCGTGATCGCTGCGCATCATATGGAAGAAAGAACACACATGAATTTAAGCTTGTATCTGACGCCTGGAAAGTGAAACAAGTCGCTGAGATTGATTCACTGGCTCCTACGGCTGATTTCACGGGTAGCAGAGGCGAATATTCGAATAGCACTCACCGATGGATGCTGTGACGACTAGGAGAAAAATTGACAAACGGTAACGGTGGAGCCCCATAGCGAGCGAATTTCACTAGCTGATGAATCTTTTCCAAGAGACTGGAGAACACTGATTCTAGCTGCGTGATGAGGGAGCGAATGCCTGTTTAGTTCAGCAGCAGGGAATTTATCCCAGAGAAGTGCTGGTCGCACAAACCTAACAGTACGGTTCCGACACAAGACACTACAGTTTAGAACGATACACCTCGGTTATTTGACATGTCCTCGTGGACTATGGCGTTCAACATGCGCTCTGGGAAAATGGGAGAACGCGCTGCGACATTCAGAAGGACGCATTTGGCGGGGTAGTACCTGGCGGGAAAGGAGACGGGCAAATGCGCATGTTGAGAGTACGGGCAACAACATAAACATTCCTGCAATCATTGCCTATTCTTGTCTGCAAACACCAGTGGGAGATGGTGACAAAGGTGGGGGAGGGTCCGAGTTCCAGACCACCCCACCAGTCTGAGTTCTGAATCCTGACAGCAGAGATACACTTCTTTTCTTTGAGATTTCGAATCGTTCTGGCAACCTAGCTGAAACATCCTCCTCTTGCCCTACTCCGAAGAGGATGTGGAGGTGTGAGTCGCCGAAGAGATCGGAAACCAATCACCGAACGGAGATTTTCAGGTGAAAGCTCGTGGCAGCTTTCCTCAGGGCTTTTGTGCTCCCCCCACCACACCCGCAATTAGCGCAGGTGGCGCAGTGAGAGTTTCCTTTATAGGGAGTACGTTTACTGACTCCCGATACGAACACAACACTAGATTAGCAACAACGGATGTCTTTATCCCACATTTGAACCTTATGTTGACGATATATGAGCTGTTATTGAGAGTAACAACACTTGCTTACCGCAGCTAAGAGCTACCGTAGCTTCGAGCTCTCATCACACCGCTCTCTATAAGTGCGGCGCGCCAAGCCGTAAGACCTCTTACCTGTCCGATTTGGTCGCGTTGTGCCGAAATCAAGGCGGCGTGGGCCAATTAAATTAAGTGCCCCGTTCTAACTGTGAGTGGGCATGTACATGCGGGGAGGGGGGTTATTGGGGCACACAGATGCAAGACTAGGGCCATGTACGGGGATGGGAGAGGTAATTTTGCCCCCATCCTCCGTTTTGTCGGTGGAAACACAGGGGTGCAGGTGCACCGAGTCACAGTATCGGGCGTTTCAATACGTGTCCTGTCTAGCGTGACTTGAGAGATACATTCACACTTCTTGGTGCACGGCTATAGCAAGGCATTTGAGTACAGAAGTCTTGTATTAAGTGTTGGCGGGGCAGTAGAATTGCTTGCGGGAGGGATTTGCAGGCTGGATGTGAAGCCAGTGCTTCGCTTGTAAGCTAATTCATTGGAACACCACTTTACAAGGCAACAAAGCGACAAGTCACACCATCTTCTATGTCTAATGAGCGCAATCCTAGCCCAATAGGCTTTCAGTTAAGTCTGTTTCTGAGTTTGATGGCCAACTCGCTAGGGTACAACCTTTTGGCATCCCGGAGGGTGGCTTTAATGGCCTATTTGCTGGACCCTTCACGACTACCCTTGGTGAATTTGAGGAAAGCACCACTCGCTGCACCAGCCTCGAACATCTTGGTGACGAGAGCCGAGTAAGCGTCAGGAGCAGTCAGCATGGCATCCACCAGCTCCTTGTACGTCTGCCCGTTGTCCGCCGTCAAAGTGCTGGCGCTTAGCCAAGTGCCGATCATTTCGTAGGTGTAGCCAATGGGAAGGGGGGGCGGGGGAGGCGGCTGCTAGCCCTTCTTGCCCTTGGGCTTCAGTTTGGCGGCCAGCTTGGCGCGCTCGGAATCTGAGAGCGTGCTATTGAGCCACGTGGCGTCGCTGGTGTCCATGGCGAGTGCCATGTCAGCACCTTTCTTGATGATGATGCTGGTGGGCTCTCCAGAGTCGGTTAGATTCACGCGCACGGAGTAAGTAATGTCGTAGTCGTTAGCTGTGGCGCTCCTGGGGGGTTGCGTGGTAAGCAGGGGTAAGCAGGGGTAAGCAGGTGTAAGCAGGGGCAAGGGGTGGTTCAGATTCACGCGCACGTTGTAAGTGATGTCCTAGTCGTTAGCTGTGGGGTTTCTGGGGGGGTACGAGGTAAGCAGGGGTAAGCAGGGGTAAGCAGGTGGAAGCAGGGGCAAGGAGTGGTTTAGATTCACGCGCACGTTGTAAGTGATGTCCTAGTCGTTAGCTGTGGGGTTTCTGGGGGGGTACGAGGTAAGCAGGGGTAAGCAGGGGTAAGCAGGTGTAAGCAGGGGCAAGGGGTGGTTTAGATTCACGCGCACGTCGTTAGCTGTGGCGTTCCCGGGGGAGGTGGCATGGGCGGTGGCATGGGAGGTGGCAAGGAGACAGCAAGGAGGGGCAAGGGATCGGGTGTTTGGCCATGGGACTGGTGGGTATAAAAGGAGAAGTGAGTTGAACGAGGTCGTTTGTGAGAATTCTCAAAAGGGACTGGTAGGTACAGAAGGAGAATTGAGTTGAATGAGGTTGGGGAGAAGGAAGGGAATGATGGGGCAGATTGCAGGAAGATGGTGAGGAGGGATTGAGAGAGTGAGGGGCGAATTGAGGAAAACGAGAAGTGAGGAGAGAGTGAGGGGAGAAGAGAGGAAGGTGAAGCTTACTGAAAGACGGCGAGGGAAATGCAGCCTGTGGCGTTGACGTCACCGCTGAGGTCAGCATCGGAGCCGTTGACACGCGCTTCCAACACAGCTGCACAAAACTGCGTAAACAGGGAAGTAAAACAAGGCTTGTGCAATGTGAAAAACGCTTCAAAATAGGAATTGGAGCCGTTGAGACGCGCTGCCACCGCACCGTGAGAACAGGAGGGGGCACGGTGGGTGGTTGATTCCCAAGCAAGAATTAATGGTGGGCGAGGCAAGAGTGGACGAGGCATGAGAGGCGAAGGCTAGGAGGGGAAAGTCCTTAGGCTCCACTTCTTTCGCGCTTACCGATGGGAGCGACGAACGAATCCCCTCCATTCTTGCCCCCTCCATTCTTGCCCCCTCCATTCTTGCCCCCTCCATTCTTGCCCCCTCCATTCTTGCCCCCTCCATTCTTGCCCCCTCCATTCTTGCCCCCTCCATTCTTGCCCCCTCCATTCTTGCCCCCTCCATTCTTGCCCCCTCCATTCTTGCCCCCTCCATTCTTGCCCCCTCCATTCTTGCCCCCTCCATTCTTGCCCCCTCCATTCTTGCCCCCTCCATTCTTGCCCCCTCCATTCTTGCCCCCTCCATTCTTGCCCCCTCCATTCTTGCCCCCTCCATTCTTGCCCCCTCCATTCTTGCCCCCTCCATTCTTGCCCCCTCCATTCTTGCCCCCTCCATTCTTGCCCCCTCCATTCTTGCCCCCTCCATTCTTGCCCCCTCCATTCTTGCCCCCTCCATTCTTGCCCCCTCCATTCTTGCCCCCTCCATTCTTGCCCCCTCCATTCTTGCCCCCTCCATTCTTGCCCCCTCCATTCTTGCCCCCTCCATTCTTGCCCCCTCCATTCTTGCCCCCTCCATTCTTGCCCCCTCCATTCTTGCCCCCTCCATTCTTGCCCCCTCCATTCTTGCCCCCTCCATTCTTGCCCCCTCCATTCTTGCCTCCGCCCTTCTTCCCGCCATCCTTCCCGCCCTTCTTGCCCTTAGGGGGCGGCGGAAGCGGGTCCGACTGAAACTGCCCCCGTGTCACACACGACTCAAAATCAGTGGTCGCGAATGTCGCACAGTACCCGTCCGGCGTCGCGATAATCGCATCCACCAGCTCCTTCAGTGTCTGCCCGCCGATCGTGGACAGCGTGCTCGCTTTAAGCCACGTCCCGTTTGTGGCATAAGTGTACTTCGGAGGAGGCGGGGTGGGCGGTGTGCCCTTGTTCTTTTTGCCCTTGGGCGGGGGAGGCAGTGGACGAGTAAGATTTGCCCACGTGGCGGTTTCCCCTTCCGCAACAATATTATGAACGGCGGTTCCTGCCTCTCCCGCCGCGCCTTGATAGATCGAAGGGGCGAACGGCTCGGCTTCGTCGGAGGCGGAGGTGACGACGCTGTAGAAAACGTTGTAGTCGTCGTCTAACCTGACGGTTTCCGTCATGGTTCACACAAGCGAGCAGAAGGGAGGAAAGGAATGCGCATGTGAGTGCATTTTCGAGAAGATGGTGTGGAGTAACGGAAAGCGACCGCTGAGTTTATTCAAGGGGTAGGTGGAAGGGGAAAAAAGCACTGACGACCGGGTGGGCGCACAGAGCACGAGCGGTTTGGCTTCCTGGAAGACGGCGAGGCACCACTGGACTTTTTTTTCACCGAACAGAAAGTTGCGGAACTTCAACTTTGAAGTTACTTTCCCGCAACTTTTTGGAGCTCACATTTTCGCGTGGCACATGCAAGGGGGAGACAAGTGGCGAGACTTATCTGACTCGGATGGATGAAGCGGCTTACTGGAAGACGGCGAGGCATACTCGTCAGCAGGAGGAAGACGGAGTTTAGTCAGCAAGAAGATGGGAGACGGAAGGCAGCTCAGGGGGACAGGTGGCTGCACCACAGGCGGGTGGCATACGGTGTGATGGCCGCACCATATGCAAGTGGGATCAAGTGGCTTACTCAAAGACGGCGAGGCAGACTCGCCCGGTGGCGTACGTCACCCGTTGCCTCAACCAATTCGGATCCGTTCAGCCGCGTGGCGAGAATCGGTGCGCGGAGACGCGGAGAGGGGGTACACCGAGAGGAGTGTCAAACATATGCCTATGTTATATTTGTGGGTAGGCTGTAGTGGGGTACACAATGCGGGGTATAACCCCTTAGGGTTTACTTCTTGTACAACTCACTCGATAGTTCACTCACCTTTGCCTAGTCTCTAAGATGGTATCTAGAGCAGTAGGTCCTTAGGACCTAAGATTCGGGCCCACCGGTTACCGCGTTACCTCACCTACAGCCTGGCTTGCCTGCCTGCCTTGCCTGCTGCCCGCGCGAGCCTCGACTGCAAGCGCGAGTTTTTTTTTTTTTTTTAGCGCACCCCGCTGCTGCAGCCCGCGTGCAGCCTGCTGCAGCCTAGCGCGCCGCGCTCAACCGCCCGCACGCCCGCTGCTGCCTCACGCGAAACCCGCAGTCGCGCGCAGCCCGCCGCCGCACGCAGCCTGCAGCCGCACGCAGCCCGTAGCCGCGCGCAGCCCGCAGCCGCGCGCAGCCCGCAGCCGCACGCAGCCCACAGCCGCGCGCAGCCCGCAGCTGCGTGCCCTGCCCGTGCGCCGCCCGTCGCCGCTGCGCCCTGCCCTACCTGTGCGCCGCCTGCCTGCCTTGCTTCTGCCTGAAGTGCGCCTGCCTGCCTTGCGCCTTGCCTGAAGTGCGCCTGCCTGCCTTGCGCCTGCCTGCCTTGCGCCTTGCCTGAAGTGCGCCTGCCTGCCTTGCGCCTTGCCTGAAGTGCGCCTGCCTGCCTTGCGCCGGCCTGCCTGAAGTGCGCCTGCCTGCCTTGCGCCTGCCTGCCTGAAGTGCGCCTGCCTGCCTGAAGTGCGCCTGCCTGCCTTGCGCCTGCCTGCTTGAAGTGCACTTGCCCGCCTTCCTGCCGCCTCTTCCTACTGCCTTGGCCTGCTGCTTTTGCCTATGCTGAAATAATGGCAACACTGAATGTTCTCGCGTTTGAGCCTGACGGTCGCCCGATAGAGTTTGCCACTTGGCTTGACAACCTGCAGCTGTTTCTCATGACGGATGCCAAAGACGGCGTTTCACTGTTCGATCACGCTTCTGGCATTGCCGCTGCTCCTGCTCTTGACCGCTCACAGTGGCAGACTCGTGATGCTGCTGCGCGCCTCGCTATCCGCAACCACCTGCTGTTCACTGAGCGCACGCATTTTAGTCAGCACAAGACTGCTAAGGCACTGTATGACGCTGTAGTTGCGCGTTATTCCTCCCCAGCCACTGCAGCAGTAGGACGTCTCATCCTGCCCTACCTGTTCCCCGACCTGTCCTCGTTTACCACCGCTGAGGACCTCATCTCTCACCTCCGCGCTAGTGACGCCCGCTTTCGTGCCGCTCTTACCGACGAGTTCCTCGCCACGAACACCCCCCCGTTGTACTTTACCCTCTACATCCTCGTCACCCGCCTCCCTGACACTCTTAGCTCGGTCAGGGACCATTTCCTCGCCAAGGACCCTACCACTATCACTCTAGCCGACTTCGAGCAGCAGCTCCTAGCAGCAGAGAAGAACATCCTCGCTGTAGGCGCTGCCCGTGGCACTCCTCGCACTCCCCTCTTTGAGGGATGCTCCCCCTCCCCTCTTGCCCCCTCCTACGCCTCAGCTGCTGCTGCAGTCGACCTCCTCGGTGCTGAGAAGGTCGCAGCGGCTTCCGCTCCTAGTGGGAAGCGCGGCGGTGGCAGGGGCGGCAAGGGTGGCAGGGGTGGTGGAGGTGGCGGTGGAGGGAGCGGTGGTGGAGGCGGCGGGGGTGGTGGAGGTGGTGGGGGTGGTCGTGGGGGTGGAGGAGGTGGGTGGGGCGGCGGTGGGACCGGGAGTGGTGGAGGTGGCAGCGGCGGTAGTGGGGGAGGAGGCAATGGTGGTGGCGGTGGAGGTGGGGGCGGGAGTGGGACCGGCCAGAAGGGGAGCTCCAGTGGGGGCCAGCAGCAGCAGCAGCCGCCGCAGCAGCAGCAGCAGCCGCCGCAGCAGCAGCAGCGCCAGACCCCCTCTTCTCAGCAGCTCCATGACTGGTATGCTGGGCGTGGGGCGTCTGGGGGTCCTGGTCGCTGCCCCTACGTCATTCTCACTGGTCCCGGCAAGGGTTGCACATACATGCAACGGCTTTCACACTGAGTACCGCTGCTTTGCTCGGCTCAGCGACGCCTGGCGCGCCAAGTTTCCTGATGCTACTGAATTCCCCAACTGGGCAGATCTGCTTAGGCGTGATGTACCTATCTATGATCTTGACTATGATGCAATCCTTGCTGCCATGTATGCATTGACTGTTAGTGCTGAGGGTGATTGTTACTTGTGTGTCCCGCCTGACCCAGGTATAGAGACTGCAGCCCTAGGTGCTAGTGAGTCTGCCCTCTCTGGTACTGCGTCAGCTCAGGCCTTGCACACGTTTACACTTGACTCTGGTGCTTCTCGCTGTTTCTTTCGCGACAGTACCACCGTCACCCCCCTCCCTGCACCTGTCCCTGTCTCATAGGCTGACCCCTCTGGGGGCCCAGTGCTTGCACGAGCCACGACTGTGCTTCCGTGCCCGGCGGTCCCGTCTGGTGAGCTGTCAGGTCTCCACGTTCCCTCGTTCTCTACGAACCTGGTGAGCAACGCCGTCCTTCAGGATCACTGGGTTGACACCTGGACTCCTGGAGGGCAGCGTGTGGCGATCTGCACTTGCTCTCGGACTGGCCGCCACCTGGCCACGTTCACTCGTGAGCCGGGGTCCAGTCTGTACACCCTCACCACTGTTTCACGCTACACCCCTTTGTCTCCTCAGCTGTATGCGTCTGCTCAGGTAGCTACTCAGTGTGAGTGTCGCCGCCTGTCGCACGACACTCTCCTGTGGCACCACCGCCTTGGTCACCCCTCCTTGCCTCGCCTTCGTAGCATGCACTCTCGCTCCCTGGTCTCTAGTCTTCCCAGGTCCCTGCCTGCCCTCCCTCCCTCACCTGCGCCGCCCTGCATTCCTTGCGTCGAGGGGCGGCAACGCGCCGCTCCTCACTCCTCGTTCCCTCCCACAGAGGCTCCACTGCAGACTCTCCACCTGGACGTGTGGGGCCCCGCCCGCGTCCAGGGGCAGGGCCGCGAGCGGTACTTCCTGCTGGTTGTCGACGACTACACACGCTACACCACGGTCTTCCCCTTGCAGCGCAAGGGTCAGGTCCCTGATGTTCTGATCCCCTGGATCCGTGCTGTTCGTCTCCAGCTCCGCGAGCGGTTCCAGTCGGACTTTCCTGTCCTGCGTCTGCACTCTGACAGAGGTGGTGAGTTCTCCTCCAACCTCTTGGCAGCCTTCTGTGCGGAGCACGGCATCCGCCAGACTTTCACGCTTCCGGCCTCTCCGCAGCATAATGGGGTTGCTGAGCGCCGCATTGGCTTAGTCATGGAGGTCGCTCGTACCTCCATGATCCATGCGGCTGCCCCCCATTTTCTGTGGCCGTTTGCGGTCCGGTACGCCGCGCATCAGCTCAACCTCTGGTCCCGTGTCTCCTTGCCGGAGACCTCGCCCACACTGCTGTGGACGGGGGAGGTTGGCGATGCGTCGCGTTTCCGGGTCTGGGGTGCTCGTGCCTTTGTCCGCGATACCACCGCAGACAAGCTCTCCGCCCGCGCCATTCCCTGTGTCTTCCTTGGTTTTCCCTCTGACGCGCCTGGCTGGCAGTTTTACGACCCCGCCTCGCGCCGTGTCTTTGCGTCTCAAGACGTCACCTTTGACGTGTCTGTTCCCTTGTACCATCTCTTTCCCTACCGTACTTCCCCTCGCACCCCCCCGCCGCTCTTCCTCGCTCCAGGTCCTCCCCAGGTAGACCCCCTTCCCGCGCCAGGTCCTGCTCCTTCAGGTGTTTCTCAGGTAGACCCTCCCGTGCCTGCGCCTGTTGAGGTCACTGGTGACTCCGGTGCTGCTGGGGGTGGTACTGGCTCTGGGGGTGCTGGGCCTGGGGGTGCGGAGCCTGGGGGTGCTGAGCTTGGAGGTGCGGAGCCTGGGGGTGCGGATCTTGGGGGTGCTGAGCCTAGGAGTGCGGAGTCTGGGGGCGCTGCTCCTGAGCGTGAGGAGCCTGAGGGTGCAGAGCCTGGCGGTTCTGTGCCTACGCGTGAAGGGACTGGAGGTACTGCGCCTGGGGGTGCTGCGTCTGGGGGTGCTGAGCCTGAGTGTGAGGAGTCTGGGGGTGCTGAGTCTGGGGGTGAGACGCCTGAGGGTACTGAGACTGCTGGTGCGCGGTCTCCTTGGAGCAGCCGCCTTCGTCCGCGTGTGCCTCTCACCTCACAGCAGCTGCACGACTGGTACGGTCGCCGTCAGGGTGGCGCTGCTGAAGCTCGGAGTTCTGCCGCTGAAGGTGCTGCTGTTGACATCCCTGGTCCCGGAGGTGCTCGTCCTGGAGGTACTGGAGCTGCTGGGGCTGGAGGCGCTGTGCGTGTGGGTGCT